ACTGACTGCTGTTTACAGCGTAACCAAACAACCACCCGGCTATCGATACTGACGTTAACTCAATAATTGCACTTCTTGGATTTGACAAGAACATCGGACTTCTGCTCTTTGAAGACGGTCCAGAAAGCACCGCCAAGGAAATCAGGAAAAAAGATTCGAATGAATCTCTANAAAGGATGCGATCAAAAAAATCGTTCATCCATTAGTCCGAATCATAAAATGACTAGCATAAAACTGAGACACTATCGAGATCACTGTCTTGTTGGGTCCCATACATCATTATTTACTGCGCTCTATGTGGTATAACTCGAGTAGGGAGACTTCAAGAGAATAAGCTTTGAATGGCCAATAGTTTTTCTTTGAATGGGGCTTCAGAAGCTCGAAGCGTGGGAACCTCGAGTGGCCAAATATTTTCAGATATTACTTCGCGAGATCGTAAAGAAGGGGAAAAAATGTGGAAAGTGACTAGCCGAACCTCTGTGAACTAATTATTCTGAATGAGATTGAAAGGAGATGAGACTTTTCAAATGGTATTCCTGCACTAAACTTATTTTGAGCCTCTTTTTTGGTTACATTCCACCAGTCTTTAATTATGGGGCTTTCATTAGCAGCTCTATTTGTCACGTATGAATCAAATTGCCAATGACAATATAACGATGACGGTGCGGGTTTCATTTTAGAAAAAAAATGAAAAATTAAGAAGAGCATCGACGAACAGCTCGATAACATCGAATAAATGGCCCGTCGGCAAATCACATGGGAATGAATGAGTCAGTCAGTGATTGCGATCAATCCGCTGATAACTAATGAAGATTGTACGACGCAGAAAATCCTCTCGCGCTTTAGAAATTCGATCCAACTGACTGCTGTTTACAGCGTAACCAAACAACCACCCGGCTATCGATAGCGACGTTAACTCAATAATTGCACTTCTTGGATTCGACAAAAACATCGGACTTCTGCTTTTTGAAGACGGACCAGAAAGCACCGTTTCCAAGGAAATCAGGAAAAAAGATTCGAATGAATCTCTAAATGGAATGAATCCCGCCCCAAAAGATGGAGGAACACTCCCTTTCCGACGTAGAACTGACCTCACACAATAAAATCTCAACCAAGGGGAGACTAAAAGCTCCACGAGTTGGGTAACTCAAGGAATGAAAACTCGCAAGGATTAGCCTCCATCGGCATTCGTGCAATCCACACGAAGCAGGCAAAAGCTCAGGAGCTTGCTAGAGGCTCGCTTTTAACGAGTGCACGGGGGCCTGCAAATCGATTCCTCAAAGAGGAGAAGCCTTGGCGTTGAGGTTTAGCTAGTAGCAGAGCATAAAAAATAAAAAAAAATAGTCATTAAAAGGTTTTACACCCTTGAGATTTCTCATGAACGAAGATCCTCACATAGTAATGCTTCCTTTAAATTTATTACAACGAATATTTCAATCGGGTTACAATCGAACGAAAAAGAACATTTATATACAACAGGAGAAACGAATGGAACGCCATGGAATGCGAATTTTCAATTTTCAGGATGAGTGGGCAATTTCCCAGAAAAAAGGGGCGGCTGCCATGCTACCCATACAATATTATTAAATTCATATGTAACAAAGAGCACAGTTTTATCGATGCCTGCGGTAACAAAGTTAACACCTAAGAGAGAACCATAGAGAGCCAGAAGTACGCCTTTCCAATGTACTGAGCTCCCTTTCCTACCCGGTCCCATGTTCGGATTTCATCAACCGCTTTCTCTGACTACATTTACATCTACATCTACAACAATAACAACAACAACAACAATAACAGATGTCTATGAGAGAAGCAGAAAACCACAGTGAGGAGAACACGAGTGAAGGAATGGGCTTACGAGTGCAGGAGGATTAAGCCCAACGCGTTACTCGTATAGGTGAAACTTCAATTTGGGTTTAGGACCCCCATTTATGGAAGTTGACGCAAACAGTAATAGTAGTCATCATTTCTCGTCGACTTCCATAGCATTTAAGCCAGTAGGCTTCTCAGGGGCAATACATCGCTGTAGTTTTCCACTAATCGTCGACAGAAGATGACGAAGAAGGGGATCGTCGCAATCAACTTGAGCACCTCCAGCGGAAATGACGGCCACTTTTTCATCAACTTCAACTCGAATAGCGGTCCTATCAGATGGATCTCGTGTCACCGCTTCGTCCCCGCATACCTGAAAGGACGATGGCTCAAATTTCTGTGCTTTGATATAAAAAAATGGAACTACCTCCTTAACGGCTGTCAACAATGCGTCCTCGATCTTTGGATAGGACTCCACTTTCGGCAAGTCTGTAACAAAATCGTGTATGGCTCATAAAGCACAGATGGAAAAGTGATTCTCAGCAACACTAGCAGTACTGAATGATTCCAGAGAAACTGCTCAGAGTTGAAATTATTTCCACGAAAGACTTGAAAAAAGCGCATAACAACTGACACATTTAACGCTGATGCTTTGAAGGCGAAAAAATGCGTGTATGAAGCAGATTGACTCGGTTTTCTTTTAGAATGTCGCTAACACATAAGTAGAGCAAGAAACCAGTGATTAGTCACTGCTCATTAACCGGTGCAGAGAGCACCTTCACTACGACCACCTTCGTTTCGCTGTAAAGAGGTCTAAAAGGACGAATAAAGGTAGAATCAGTCGCTTAAATTGCGATGCAAGAGGTTCACCCATCCCTAACCCCCGACGATTATAACAGCGTAGCGAGGAGCTTTCAAGAATATTCAATGAGCTTTCAGCCGAATTCAATAGATTTAGGTCCTAAATTCAAGAAAAAAGGCAGAAATTTTTGAGCTATTTCATGGTGAGCAAGGCCAATGACCCTTTCAATCCTAAAGAATCGCAGAGTATTGCTACAATATCAGAGGAAGACGCAAACTACCGGCGTACATTTCTCTGGTATTGGATTCGTTTGAGCATGAAGAATAGCCGCCAATACTGCGTCCGCATACATATCGTTGACAGGATTCGACTCCCAATCCAGAACACAAATAGATGCCAATGAGCACCATTGCAAAGAGATGGCGCGCTGAAATACAAACGTTCGTTGAAAGTTGCATGAAACTGTGGGAATCCTCCACTTTTGGGAAACTATTAATGAGTTTTGGGTGGATGTGAACAATGAAATCATTCCTGCATCTCCTTCCAAAACAAAAAAAAATTGAGAAGTTCCAATAAGCTTCTAGGGAAGGTTTACAAATTAACGTTTTATAAAACTTTCCCAAAAAAGGACTCCAGGTTTTGATAGAGTCTCGATTAATTTCTTCGCAAAGCGAGTTATTTTGTATGATTCTACCTACTTTTGCTACGAATTCCATAAAACTCAAGTTTACAAGGTAAGCGGTGGGGTTGAGCATGGGATAGAAGCGCTGCAAAAAATGGTTATTTTCCTCAAATGAATTTACCTACTATCGCGCTCATCTGTTTTTTTNTTTTTTTTTGGGACTATACGAAGTCGAAATTGTACATTTATACGTAAAACTTTCCATGTAACACATGCGTTCTTGAAGAAATTCCAACAGCAATTGACACATTCTCCTCTGCGGGTGATTCATATTTTTCGCTCTCCCTCTTCCACTCTCATGATTAATTATAGGACAATTATGTTTCCTAATTCAGGCCCATGTGTCACCTGAAGAAAACAACATTCGTACTCAACACTCACGAGAATCGATAAATTTCCATGAAGAAGTCTATAAGAGCGAATCCTTTCGGTGTGTGATAGTACACGTCACAGGACTGGCTCGCATACAAAATTTCTCAGACTTCGGGATGCGCATCTGTCCCAGACAGACAGAGATGTGCCGTACAAAAACAAGCTAGTAAGGTTTTTTGCACTGGGGTACTAGTGGAAGTCCCTAGAGGTCACTATACTATCGACAATCTGCAAAGTATGAGGGAAGGGGAAGCAAATGAGCAGAGATGGTTACACTTACAGAAAGTATAACGCTTTAAAAAAAAAGGTGCTCTGCAAGTAGTTCTGCTATTACAAATTTGTTGCGAATTGATAGCCACCCAAAAATAAGACACCTCTGACAAAATTCGATAGAAACTCCAGAAATAAAGATTATAAGCTATGACTTGAACATGAAAGGGAAGAGGTTAGTGGCGTGACTAAACCGGCTTTTGGAATGCGCCACGCGCTGGATTTATATAAGAAATAGTAGGGACGTTTTGAACGCGAAGCGGCTCATACAATGAGTTGCGTTGGCCAGCCGTTGAACAAGTCAGTGCTTTTATCCCCTCATCAGGCAAATCCGATTCCAATTGAACAATTTCGCTAGGATGGAATGCTTGGAATGTATCATCCCATGATTCGATCACAAGACCATGCGTCTAATATTACTGACTTGTTCATTGGCTGGCCACAGCAAGTCATTGTATGAGCCACTTCGCGTTCGAAACGTCCCTACATGTCATAACATCAGCTGATTCAAGACGAACGTGGAGTAAAGCCAAGTGAAAAGCTATCAACTAGAAATTGATACACGCCCAGGCCAAACAAACCCTCTATTCCTATAACGCCGGATAAGTGGTGCCACTGCACCGACCTGCAGACCCAGACCGGACTGAAATGGCAAAAGCAGTGGCCTGACCGGCCCCTGCAACTTACAGACACATTCAAAAACCATTACAATTTCGAGTAGAAGTCTTTTGGGATCCTAATATTGATAAAGCCAAAAAACTCATTCCTAGGAGAGTATAATATCCTTCTTACTTATAAAGTAGAAATTTGGTGTGTCGGTTTGTAGGTTTGTAGGTTTGTCGGTTTGTATGTCTGTCCGTCCGAGAAGTTTATGATTACGATAAAGACAGTGATATGGATAACTCAGTTCTATCCTACATTCCTCAGCATTACTTTACTTAAAAGGGAGGGGGGGGGGGGGGGGGGGGGGGGGGGGGGGGGGGGGNGGAGGAGGAGGAGGAGGGGCATTTTTGACTCAGTAAATGTAAGATATGGGGGACCGTCGTGAGCTGGGCGACCCAACTGGTAATATAAAAATATAACATGGTTGTCTAAAGTAAAGGTCCCGATTCAACCCCATCATTTTCATAGACATTCCGGACAGCGTTGCCGAATTCCCAGTTCCGTTTTTGCAGCTCGTTGCACATCAGATAACAATCTATTATCGGCCGATAAAATGGACGTTGAGGCGCGAGCAACTCACTCACACAAATATTCATGCTAGGAAAATGGGCAATAAATGGGTGAACTGTTTAACCGAGAGTATGAGAAAAGCATAAACGAAATTTGGTTGACTGATTCCGTCGGAACTGTTAAGAAAGGCGTGTGAAACTCATGGCCTTGGCCTTTCCAAGCGAATCTGGTACTATGTAGCCAAAAATGGAGTATCAGCAGGACTGATTAACATGGGGCGCTTATAATCTGTGATCATGCGTCTCTTATGCTCAGCCCATCCAGAGGAAATGGAACTCGTATAAATGAAAGAATAGATAGATAAATAGTGGGAAAGCTGAATATTTGGCTGCTTACATCGAAGACAGAGAACACGTGTGTGGGTGTTGTGGTATCTGTTGGCTTCAATTCAGCAGTCAATATGGCATCGTCATTCAATTGGTTTAGACTATAAAGTAGCAACGACAGACTTCCGGAATAGTAAACAGACTGTCGTTGAGACAATCGTGATGAAGAAAGGTCGGTGAATACTAAAAACAGAACATTTTTTGTAGTATAAGTGAGAAACAACGAGAGCCACTAAGCGCTGACCGGTGAGTTCCTTAGGGTCAACCACCTGATAGTTGAAATTCCGTTTGATCAAAATTCCACTGACAATGTCTCCTATCTGAAATGGCAGATTTACCATTGGGCAAAACTCACACATGTGAGGTCTATGTAGGTAGGAAACATCACCTTATTAGACTTAATAGCCAGTGCGCCCACGACCTTTGCCTTTCGCACACCTTGGAATTGTAGGCGGACTGTNGCCACTAAGCGCTGACCGGTGAGTTCCTTAGGGTCAACCACCTGATAGTTGAAATTCCGTTTGATCAAAATTCCACTGACAATGTCTCCTATCTGAAATGGCAGATCTACCATTTGGCAAAATTCCCACATATGTATTCTATGTAGGTAGGAAACATCACCTTATTAGACTTAATAGCCAGTGCGCCCACGACCTTTGCCTTTCGCACACCTTGGAATTGTAGGCGGACTGTGTCCGTGTTACGAGGATTGTGAATCTAAAACAGAGAAATCAGCGGTTGCAGAAATTGGAACTAGGCTCCAGTTGATTTGTGAGAATAAACACCGTCAAGGTACCAAAAGTGACAATCGGGTGTCGCATAATCGTTATCTTGCGCTCGCCACTTTAACAACAACGACCGCAGCTTCAAAGAGTCGCAGAGCTCCCAACGGCAATATTTGATTCTATATGCTCGTGGGAACAATAGAAATGTTAAAAAAGAGAAGAATAGAGAAACGCTGTTTTGAAAAAATCAGAGAAATTGAGGAAGACATTAGATGGATCATAAAATTCTGAATGGGCACTCTGGGCTTGCCCGATATAGGGATGCGTTCGTTAACAAAATTGAGATATATTTTTGCAAATCTTATCAAGATGGAGGAATGGGATGGAATCTCTCCAAGTTGAAAAAAGCTGCACATGGTTCGAAGCAGATTTTTGAGTCTTTTTGTGAGGCCATCTTGATTCATTGTAAATTGAGTAACGAAGAAGAAATAATGATCAGGGTAACGTAGAAAAGCACTTTGGAAAGTGCTCTTTGGAATTGAACATCGAACGAAGGGAGCTAATAAATTCGCTAACAACTAATACACCACAGCTGAGTACATGCAGCTCTGTCACGATTGACAGAGAGATGTCAGGCAACCTATTTACTGATACAATATCCAATGAGGGTTAGGAAGGAGATGAGAGTTAAAGGAATGAAGGTCGTTGCAGATTGTTTAAAAGTGACAGGCAGAAATCAGTGATCAATAGAGTCAGAAAAATTATTCTTGGACGAAAAAAAACGGAGATTTTCCTTTGCCCTCACTGAAGAAAACTGTGCATAAAAAGAAATTGACGAAGCAAGGCCGACCTAAATGCGAAGCGAACGGCCAGCATGGTTACGTAAGAAAGGCTACATAATGAGATCATTCCGCATGGCCGATGAACAATCTGTCTCTATTGATGTTAATCGCATGTATGTACGTCAAGGGAATTGTAGACTGGTTCCCGTTGGCTTCATTCCAGTATAATACAAAGCAGAGTTGTATGGCCAATTTTTTTTACTTCCTAAGAATTTGCGGCCACGAGAAAATTGAAAAGACGCAATTTTTCATAGAAGCGCGTATTAATCATTTTCCTTACTTTTTGAAGAAATTTTACAAAATGAAATTTGATCCTATCCTGTTGAGTTCAAAAACTCGCATTTTGATATTTTCAAGAATACCACTCAAAAAGCCGCAAGGTTTCAAAATGGCCGAGTGAAATTAAAGAAAACTTTTTTAAAATGATATGCCTGAGGTAGCTGGTTGAGGGCCTTCGCCACAGGTACAGAACTGCGTGCAATGCAAAATAGATTCCATTTATAAGACTTGTTTCTACAAAGCAGCATCCCAGAGAGATTATAGGCAGTAGTGCTCTTGACTCAGGTATATGGGGACAAGAAGGGTATGATTCACATTAGAAGCTATTAATATCATGTCGGCCCCAATGCTTCATACATGCTACCAATGAACTTTAAGGCACAGTTCACGATAAAAATGGTTTCCGAGATTTCCCCATACCTTGAATTCGAGGCTCCCCTTTATACCATACCTCTCGTTATAAGGGCGGAAAACGTCCTGGATATTGCAAAATAAGGGACAAAAGATTGTATCGTGTGAATGCCAACGACTTTCAACGGCTTTGTGGAGGCTGCACCATTTACAAGGGAACCAATGACGCATAACGACAGTGAAAGGTAATTCTGGGCAGCTATGGTTTGATATAGTCACAGCTCTTTGCAGGATGGGAGCAACTTGAATCTCTGTTCATCAGAACGCTTGCACCCTTAGATCGCCCGCAAAAAGTGTAACGTTCTGTGGAGTGTAATTCGCCGCGCTAGTCGAAAGCCCTGCTACCTCTTAAAGATCGAAAATTTCCCGGTAGAAAGTACAAAAAAACAATCCCACGAGTAACCTAGCACCTTGCCTCGAAATTATTATTGACTAGCCGAGTTAAGTCTGAACTGCTTCACTGTCCTTGGACTTTGTGCATCGTTAAGAAGAACATTTTTGGAATTATTCCACAAAAAAAAACATCGCATTCCCAGAAGAAACAAATCATGTACGAATAAGTGATTGTCTCTGCACTTTCCACTGAAGGAGGACATACCTATAAGATGAGAACGTTCTAGGAAATTCTTTGACAAAATAATTAACGTTGACATGAAATGAAAGTCACGAGACGTGCTAAAGAGTGATAAGACGGTACAGAAGGAAAAAGCTACAAATATTGAGAACGTCAGAATAATGTAAGGGAAAGACTTCCACGGAAAATGGGAGCAAAAAAAGGGTGGAGGGAGATAAGATGGATTTCAGACGTCAATCATAATGGCATAAAAATATGTCTTGGAGAAGCTGCCTTGTGAACATTATCACGTAGATGATGTATCTCCCAGAACAGCTAGTGAACGGAAGCAAAGAAAACACACCTCAATAGACATGTTCTCCTCTTCAAAGCTTCGCAGTATTCCTGCCTTCAATCGACTCATTTCATGCATCTCACCATGGACAAGGATCTAAACCAGAAATCAGATCCTACTAAAGATGAAAAATCGGAACAACAACGAGAATCACCATATGAGGAGGTTTCAATTGCTTTACGAAAGCAAGGGTTTGTTGAAAATCCGTGTGGGCAGAAAAAGATATATATCCAACCTACAAAATGTAATCAACAAGAATATGATAATGAAGAGCTCAAGTAAGGGCTCACTTGTAGTCTCATGGGCAAACGATCGCCGTTCATCGCAACAATTTCTTCAGGCTCTGAGAGAATATGCTGGAAAAAGCGAAGTTCTTTCATCAGAGATTGGGCCCCCAAAAACGCCGCGTGACATCTATGATATTTTCGAATTTCAAAACAAACCTTGGCAAGTGTACCCTCCACACAATAGCCAGCAATGATGCACCCGTTTTTGGCATCCGTACACCATTTTTCGAAAAGTTCTCTGCTAAGACCATTTTGTAACATACCAGGGCTAGCCAATACAACACATGGCCCTGAATCCTCGAAATGTTCCATGCCCTGAACAATTTTTAGTAATAAGTGCAGTTTTGAGAAATCATCCGTAGGAAATCAACCAGACCCACAACAGCAAGTCACTCACCTTCAAGTTGCTTACATGCTTGAAAACGAATGGATTGCTGACAGCTATTTGCTTCTGGATACGTTGATTCATGCCACTTACAAAGGTCTGGTACACTGCCATACATTTTTTGGCAAGCGACGATGCATCTGAAGACAAAAAAAATAGGAACCCTTACAACTCGCCAGAAACTTAGCTCGAATAAGAGAATTCAGGAAAAGAGTAAGCTGAAGTTTGGGGTGTTCACTCACAATATACAGGTATGTCGTACAGTTCTGGATGTGCATCCCAATACTCATCCAAAATTAGCAGAAGTTCCTGAGCTCGACCAAGAGCGAAGGCAGGAATCAAGCAACGCCCTCCTCGTCCAACGATGTCATGTACCATCTGTGTGAAACGTTTTTCACGTTCAATTCGCTCTTCATGAATTTGTGTACCATATGTCGACTCCTGAACTGTTTCATAAGCCAGTGGTGTTGTTTCGTTGAGTTTTAAATGATTCCAGTCAAAGAGGCACCGAAATAAGGACGTCGGGAGTAATCGTCGGCAGTTCCGCTGCACATAAATGCCGATCTTCTAGCCTCGAGAAGTCACCGGTGTATAGGGCGCGAACACCTAAAAACTTTGCTAACTTACAATCTAAAAATCATAATAACGGCACAGTTAGACAGTTATCATGTCACTTGGATCTAATTTCTTATGAGTATGAGTTTCTTAGGATTTGAAATGGCGTATGAACTTCTTACAGCCTAACAAAAGCAGTAGAGAACGTTGGGGTACACTAGAGAACAGCTCCCAGCCCGTTGCTCCTCTTACTCACACTGGATCTTAATTGAAAGAACTCCCGGATCCTGAAGGTATCGCTCTGATAACGGCAAGCAGAAAAGAACACAGGACAAACTGCAGAAGTGGCAGGAGACTGAAGGTAAGAGAGAGATCCGGTTCTACGGCTGAGGGTGAAAAAAAACAAATTCCTGAGCTTTGAAGGATGCGCAGGGTCCGGTCATGTGAAGCACTAAAGGGTATCAAGACTCCTGACACCTGGGGAATGGCCTCACCACGGTGAACTAGGCTGCAAAAATCTGAATAAACACCCGAATAAATAAATAAAAAATGAATGAGGGGGGGAGGGGAAGTTGCTATCCTGTGCAACCGGCGGTGCTCCAGAACGATCAGAAGAAAGGTACACAATACAGTGGTGAGCCGTAGATGCTATACGAGTGCTGTGGTCAGCATGAGGCGACCGCAATCGTTCATTCTTGGAAATGCGGATGTTGATATGAGCTTACGCTTCGACGAGACTACACCGTTTCGGAAACGAAGAAGTCAGGACGGTCGTGCGAACAGCCCCCATTCAGGCAAAGATGAGAGAGTGGCGTCTGCGATGGGTCAGAGAACACCTGTCCAGCAAAGCAATGAAATTCGAAACCCAAGGTAAGCGTTCACGAGGCACTCCAAAAAAGAGGTAGCGGGACGTGATGAAGAAGGACTTCGCAAGGAAATCAGGTGAGAGTACAGGGAAGATGCTAGAGATAAAATAAAATGACCCACCTAACAAAAACCGCGGACCCTGCGACGGCGCGGGATTGACTCGTGGGAGAAGAAGTATTTCGATTTACACTAGAATGCTCGACGAGTCTGGTACCAATCAGCCGATCCCGGATGGACGGAAGGCTTCTTTGGCCTACATGGATATCAATCCAGGATTAGAACCATGACCATGCGTGCACGAAGTGCGCCACTTGCCACTCCACCACCTCCGCATTATGTTACTATGTATTGAATGAATTCATGAAAAATAATAACAGCACATAAAGAAGTGGCAAGAGGTGAAGCTATAGCTCAAAGGTGGTTATAATTCCGGTAAACAACGCATAAATGTACTTCTTCTCCTAGTACACCTGAGCTTTCATTCACTTAGATCTCCTTATTAGTGTCAGTCTTGGAGGGCAAAACTAGGCAAGTGCTTATCCTAGCCTCATGAATCACTGCAGTGGAAGAATGCGAGGGCAAAAGTTTCCACAGGTAAGCCTACACCTCGAAAGCAGTCATCCAAAAATTCCTTAACGTACTTATGAGGTGGCATATGCAATTTTGCCAAGAGGCAGTCCAAACCAGACGACCTCTTCGAAAACGGCCATCAAAGTATTTAGCTTCAGACTAACGAACCAGCGTTACATCTTCAAAATACGGAAGCAGATTTTGGGAAGAGTCACGCCTATGGCTTGAGAGGATGATGCACTGCACAGTTGGCGTGAAAGGGCAAAAGTCATCGAAGAATCAGCATAGAATCAGCGGATTGGGTGAAGGAAATATGATAAAATCGAAATTCCTGTCATGGCTCCTTGTGATCCGAGTCAAATATTCGACGAAGGATTTCCATCGCAGAAGCGTTTCCGCCCTTGCAGGTGCCAGTCAAAGTACCAGCCTCTGCTGGTAATCCCTNAGAATCAGCATAGAATCAGCGGATTGGGTGAAGGAAATATGATAAAATCGAAATTCCTGTCAAGGGCTCCTTGTGATCCGAGTCAAATATTCGACGAAGGATTTCCATCGCAGAAGCGTTTCCGCCCTCGCGAGTGCCAGTCAAAGTACCAGCCTCTGCTGGTAATCCCCTACTCGTGCTATCGATGAAAGCGAGCTCGGTGAAATACGTTCTCTGACTGAAGTTCTGATTACGTGGAAACGCACTGGTGGTGCCGCTGTACGCCAGCATGTGAGTGTAGATCCTCACTTAGAAAATTTGGTCGTCGTTCTAATGGTAACCTCCCTACTAACTCAGCTCAGCCAAGCCTGAGCCAGAACTATCACTCCAGGAAGGGAAGCAAAGACATGGGAATGTGAATTCAGTTGTCTGACAAAGCTCTAAATTCTCAAAATTCGACATACACCTAAGTTAATCGATCCATTCACATATTGTAAACCACAGATTCTAGATTCACAGTCTCCTAAGAAGGAAATGACAACATTCTTAATGCCTCAGAACATTCAAATGGAAAGCGGCTCTAATCTTTTAACAAATCAAAGTCTCAAAACTTCACTTAATCGTAGGCTCCCACAGATGGGCGATGGGTCAAGGAGAAATCATGCTGACCCTGACAGGATGGAATTAGAAAGAGCGTAATTAGAAAAATGTGAAACGAACCCGCTATCTCGATCATAAACATACAGGCGCCAAGTACGTGACCAGCAACGTACGGCCAAAAACGGATTCCATTAACTTCTTTTTGCTCGTGAAAGTCGATAACCTAAACGTGCACGACTTGTCAACTCACTGCATCTGTTTGGGGCTTAAAAATCTGAAAAAGCCCAAGCAAGCAACCTCGATCTTTTCCATGCTTCTCTCTAGGTCTTCATCAGTGTATAACATACTGCGATCGCTTCCTCCGCCATATTTAGCAACCTTGAAAAGGTCGTGTTCAGCCGAAATGAAGAAAAAAGGAAGAAAAAACAAAGGGGTAGAATGGTTCAGGGGAGACAACGATACCTTTATATAGTCTCCTAAGAGCATTCTGTAGATAGCTTTGGTTGCATGAGTCATGAAGCATTTTCCTTGGAATCCAGTCTTTTCCAGCAACCATGGAAGAGCACCGCAGTGGTCGAGATGAAAGTGAGTGATCTGAACAGCGAAAACTAATGAAGACCACCAAAAGCCGAGAAACAAGTCTTCGAAAAGGTCTCCGCTGGTAACAACAAGATGTTAATCTCACATAAAGACTTATAAAGCAGCAAGTACTTGGAATATTGCCTAACTCTAATAACAAGGGCCAAGGCTACTACTAAAGTTACAGAAGAAAGGGTAAGAGGCTAAAGACAACAACAAAATATTATATTGCACCAGTTAAAACATCACGTTAATACTCGATTCATTCCCAATTGTTGTTCTTTTCTGCCCCCCCCCCCCCCCCCCCCCCCCCCCNTATCTATGCCTACAACTGACCAGTCCCTTTACCATGCACACTAAACAATAGACCACCCGCATTCTCGTATTGCTTGCTGGGAGTAAAAAAACAAAACGCCTGAGAGAGGGTTTTGGGTGAAGGTAAACTCAATCCACTCACCGTAGTTTAGAAAAAATTGTTAAGTTTAGAACGTACCAACAAAAGATCTATTTCTTCAATGTCGATGAAATCAACGAAAGGGAGAGCGTCTACTCCATGCATTCCAGGATGAACACCGCAGTCTAACTGAAAGTATATCCATAACCACGAAAAGTTACGGTTCAAAGTGAAAAGCATAATTAGCATGTAGGAAACTTTATAGAAGCTGAACGTGTTAAAAACTAAATTGACTAATCAGAAGAGCCGATCTCGTTGGAAACTTGCCCCACCTTACAAAGAAATGAAGAGAAAACTGACTATAATTTGAAAAGCAATAATTACATATCTGATGACGACATGACACTGAGTACTTTGGATTCGTTATAAGGTTATATATAACTAGGATAACCTGGTCGATTTAGTGAAGTAAACATTACACTCATCGAAGCGTCTTCCCACTGAATCTCCAACAAAATACTCACCAAAATCTTTTTCCCTTTGAAATGTAGAAGATGACAGGATCGCCCAACTTCTTGACCAGACCCACTAAAATCAGAAATTATTAATAAGCACTATGACACAATTTGTGCGAATTTGGAAAAGAACTCACAGCGGGGTGAAACACATGATATCTGAGCTCGCTCCTCCGTCTTCGTCCATGTCCCTAAAGCTATTGAACCTCCGTACCTGATAAGACCAATCAAATTATGCTCATCGTACAACCACCATAACATTTGGCTCCAAAAAGAAAAGTACCGATATAAACGAATGCAGAATGAATGAAATGAGCACAGTATAAGTACAAGGACGCAGTTAGTGCAGAACTGATTATGTTGAGGAACCACAGCCAAGTGAAAGGTTTATTTACTTGAACTGCACGGAATCAAATGCAACGTCACCAAAAATATCATAAATTACGATACAAATATCAGATAGCAGAATTTCTGATAAAGCTTGATTATTATCATCAATGCATTATAAAATAGAAGGCCACCTAGTCTAAGGATATCAACAAAGAACATCATAGTTCAAAATTGAAAAGAGTGACGCCTTAAATAATCTCTTTAAGTGATTCTTGAACATAATCTTTACTTAATTGTTTATTTAAAACCTTTCGCGACTGCGGCAGAAGGCTTCCACTGAATTGAGACCTACACAAATGCACACAAAAAACCCTTTAAAATGTTTATACACAAACTACGAGACCTGTGGCGGCACAAACCGTTACAGCGACTTTACAGACACTGCAGAATGGATATCGAAAGAAAAATGAAACGTATCGAATCAGTCCTGTTTAGGAGGTAGGAGTATAGGACCGCTTTCCACTACATGTGGAGTGTTGTAAACCCGTGAACTCTCATCAGTGTCGGTGGCCGCATTCCGATTGGTTTCTGTATCTGAATAGATAATGTAAAATGCAAATTCTGACCTACAGCCAATCGAACCTAATGTTACCTAAGATGAACAAGAACATCCCTAAACCTCTTACCACTTATATTTTCGACGGCTCACTCAAATTCAACTCACTTCACCGTAGAGACAACAACTTTTGTAAACTCTGATCACCACTTACTCGATTGATGTCCCTGAAGCGGACTGCACGACGCCACACGTTGAACCTGAAGCAACTCATGAGTAATGTCATCACTATAGCAGCACTATTGCACAGGATCTAAGTCATTAGCACCTCTGGCCTGTCAAAGGTAAGCAGTTTCGATGCCGGACGTTGAAAGACAAGACAAATTTTAGAATTCGGAAAATTCCACACGAGAGTTGCTCATACAAATAAGATCCCTACCTGATGATTTGCAAATTGAGCGCGCCTTGTTTGAGAATGGTGTTGTTGCAATAATTGCGAGCTTTGCTGACTTGAAATCTGAATAAAAGTACTGTCTAATGAAAATGGTCCAAAGTAGGCTATCCAAGTTATGCAGTCTTGAAAAAGGCTTAAAAACAATACCGAGCAACTTAAGTAAAAAGCTTCAAAGGAATTGCCTGAGACTTACATGACCCTGCGTATACCTCGAATGCGTATTAGGAATAGAACGAACAGGAAGCGGAGGCTGAGCACTCATCTGAACATTTAAGAAATACTATAATTACACGGTTGCTATAGCATTCAGAAGCACGCCCTGAATGGAGGAAATGGTGGAATAATGGAATAGCGATGCCAGCGAACAGATCGGTGTGATGCAGCACTAACTCGGAACTCGAGAGAGGAATTAATACCAGCCGACTTTTTGAATTCTAGTTTGTTTTGTTGGAAGTACAGCGGAAAAATGATCTTTTATGAAAATATATCTCATTTTTTAGGTATCATGAGTAAACGCATGGTAAAGGACCACCTTCTCAAGCTATCCGAATCGATACTCTCGCTTACTCCCCATTGGTGGTTTTCTGTTTTTCTAGACTGTGAGCTCATGTCACACTAGGGACCAGCTAGCTTCTCTGCGATTAAAGTACGGGAGAATCGGAAGGGAAATCGTTCAAAAAATTGCGGTTCTAACAACAACAACAGCAACAACCAAAGAAGCGTTACCTGCCCATATTGGTGACCCGTGGCACTGGCAACTTGAACGGGAAGAGGACGTTGTTGCGCACGCTGAATCGGTGCATTAGAACTATTTAGTGAGTTTAAGTAGTAACAGCAACCTGTTGTTCCTGAGCAGCGGCAGCAGTAGCTTGCCCATGAGCTCTGGCCTGCGATATTAACTGGTCTAAAACTGCCGGCGAAGGAGACGCTGGTGCGGAATCCGTAGATGATGGGGTACCACATCCACCTAAGAAATGACTGCATGAAGACAATGTAACTATTAACCATAGCTACAACACCCCATACTACACTCCAGCAGCCAAATATAAGACCCTTGCTTTTTATGGCGAGCCTAAAAACTGCACCGACAGTTACCACAACCTACAACGGTGAGAGAAGCTCCCAATAAAGTAGCCCTCACTATGGAAAGAATCGTCTTGAACAATGACCGTGTTTTCCATTCAACACCGAGCAAACTTCAACGGGTATGAAAGAATCTTAACCTGACTGCTTCTTATGCGACTGCTCTACATGATTGGATAATCCTGCCGTAGTTTTATAACGTTTTGAACACTGCTGGCATTTGTACGGTCTGGATCTGAAATATAAGCAATTCTCTGTGGTGCAACTAAGAATGAACAAAAATACGAGTGAAATAAAACTTCGAATAAATATAATACAATATATAATAAACACGAATAAAAAAAATAAAACATTCTAATAAAGTTCTATTCGATTATCTATGCAGAAATTTCTTCGCTGATGAAATTCGGTACACTGTCCACTTTAAAAAGACGGACCATATCAAATACCGATATAAAAGACAGAGCCACCTTTCCCATCACCCTTCTATGTGCACTGTAGTTTAAGCGGCTACTCAGAGCGTCATCATGATGATGAAAGACCTACTTGCCTTTTCAGCTACCTCTCTCACAATTTCCCCTTCTTTGTCCATTCTCTATCTCTTCTCCCTTTTCAGCTAAACTTGACTTGAGTGATCTGTTGTAAGGCCCTTCCTCCACGTCGTCTCGGTGGAAGCCCTCCCTCAATCTACCCCAATTCCCACAGGCTGGAAGAATATCAAATCTAGGCAATGAAAGTCTCGAAAGAAAAAGTCCGATAAAAATGAAAGATGGAAACTAGACAAGTTAAAGATTCGAGTCTGCCACATCATTAGCTGAATTAGCACATTACGACTATCCTGATCATAAGGTTATACAAGCGTTAAAAAGAAACAGCAAAAACCATACGCAGCATATTTGGTGGGACTAGCTGTAGGAGGAGGGTGCCCATTGTGTGAAGAAGGTCGGCTTCCTGATCCGCTCGAATGACCGCTTAGTACGCTATCTTTCAAAATCACCCCGTGCGTAGTACGAGAATGCAATCTGAAAATAAAGGATAAAATGGTTGCAGGCTTGACTATTTGGAAGCTTTCACAATTCTATCAAATTATAGTCAAAGTGGTAGTAACGTTCGTGTGGTAGCAGCGCCAACTGCCACTACCCATCTTAGCTTCCATAGGAAGTGGTAACTAAAGTAGATGCAGGTAGTAATAGAAAGTACCTCAGTCCAGACGCGGATCTGAAACGCTTTCCACACTCAGCAACATGACAACGGAACCGTTCTTCGAGATCACTGGAAATTACATTCAACTTACAACTTTTCTATTAAACCGAATATGCATAGCTTACTTGATGCTGCATTCACTCAAATCCTCAACGCAATCTCCAGTATTTGATTCATCTGGAATGAAAAAGCATGGTGGAAAATGAATACGCTGAGTTATGTGACCGCTAGAAGGTGGAGTAACTCAAAGTGGCGCCCTACCAACCCACGTGAGTCAAGTTTAGCACAAATTCGGGGATGAATAGTTAAAACCAATTCGTGTGGAAGGATAAAAGCACCGAAGTGTGCAATGGGTGGGGCCGAAAGACATTTTTTGAGCCGCGGTATTCAAATGATAGAACGGATCGAAGTGGTTGTTAGATGTAAGGGCATACCCAGAAGTTGGACTGATCTACGTTCAAGGCTTTATACCACGAAACTTTTAAATGACCATCTGGATAAGGTGAGAAGAAAACGCTGCTTGTATCAAAGGAATTCATCGTCTCAGCGAGTTCTCTAGCGTTTGGTACCCTGCAGCTGTTCAAGGAGAACATAACTACTCCCGCATGCTTTCAAGAAGAGAGAATAGCCACAGCAAATGCGGTTTCACTCATTGTATGAGGTCGTTTTAGCGTAAAGAGTGATCTCTTGGCAAGCAATCATAGCCTTTCTACGGTAGCTTTCACAAATTTCAAGCATCTGAAAAATTCAATGCACAATATTTCTGGTCAGATGGCATTTCGAAAAGTGTTAAGCTACTTGTGCCAAAACCAAAGACATGGTGAGTTGGACAGCCATAGCACCTTTTTCGTGCCTTCACTATGGAATCCCCAGTTTTCCTTTTCAGGTAGAAACCGTTTCTAAACGGACCAAAATTAGGTAAAACTTACCTTTTCGCAGAGACGATGAAAGACTTTGGACATTAGAGCTGCCAGCTAAAAAATTAGGTGAGAGGATTGTTCACGATTGAGAATGCCAGCAAACTAACATTCATTTGGTCGTTTCCGATAGTGATTAAAAGTTAACCGAATAACATCTGGGTCACATGGCGTAGGATTGTATGCTGGTTGGAATAGCCTGCAATAGCTGAATATTTTCAAAGAAAAAATGTGAAAATCATGACATCAACCTGTAAACGCAACTAAGCGGCATATTTGGAGTGGCTGAAGCGCGGTTTTCCTCGGGTCCACTTTGAGCCTGACTAGCTTTCTGACGGTACTCTTCCTCTAATGGAGCTATAAACACTGCCTCTGAGCACGTGAGCGTAGCTACTCGTACGTCAACTTACGGATGTGCGTGAATTCGATATGGGCGATTAGATCGTCCGTACTGGAAAAATTCAGCTGACAACCACCGAACGAGCATCTGTTCTGCGAAAGTAACGATAGTGCCATAGACTAGAAGAATGGTGTCTGACAAGATCCAAGCTGTTCTTAGGATTGTATGCTGGTTGGAATAGCCTGCAATAGCTGAATATTTTCAAAGAAAAAATATGAAAATCATGACACCAACCTGTAAACGCAACTAAGCGGCATATTTGGAGTGGCTGAAGCACGGTTTTCCTCGGGTCCACTTTGAGCCTGACTAGCTTTCTGACGGTACTCTTCCTCCAATGGAGCTATAAACACTGCCTTTGAGCAAGTGAGCGTAGCTTCTCGTACGTCAACTTACGGATGTGCGTGAATTCTATATGGGCGATTAGATCGTCCGTACT